TTAAGTTCTGCATTATTTGGTATCAGAGTTTTGGCTCCATGTAAATCTATTATTTTTTAATTTTGTACTTTTAAATTTTTACACCATCTATTTATTTATTTTTTGTTCATCTACTAAAAAGAAAAATTATCTCATACATCGATCCAAGTAAGATATAACATCAATTGACGCTTTCTTAGCTTGATGAAATCGTTGTTAAGTACCAATTGTTTTTTTAATCTACTTTTCTTTTAATTTTGTTTCTTGTGCCAAAAAAAAAAAAAAAAGAAATGAAGAGAGAAAAGAAGGGAAACAAAGGAAAGACTCCCATCGGAAAAGTACTTACTTTTTTGGTACTCAACCATCATTCTTTGAAACGGTACAAGAACCACCTCTACATAAGGTAAAAGTTCCTTTTATTTTATAATTTTTTTACAACCACGTGCATTCACACTTATATAGTTTATTAAAGGGTACTTTTTTTTTTATAGAACGTAACGTACATCGGGAATAGATTGGTAGGAATATATTTCAGATTTTCCCTTGGGGCAAATATCGAATCCCTACATCTATAAACCGTCAGTTTCTTTTTTACTCTCAGTTTCTTTTGTTATCCCAAGTTTTAGTTCCCTAATACATCTAAGTATCTAAATTCTATCTTAGAGTTTAGCGTAATTGATAACACACTACCTCTTCCTCTGTGTGTTACTCTCTTTCTTCTAATATTAGTGAGTATTTGTTCTTTAGGACTCATTGTGATGTCTTAAAACAATACTTGAGAATATTTCGATTCAAGAAGATTTATCCGGCACTCAACTTGAGGGTGGGAGATAGAAAGGTAAAAGGTAAGAGTGTGTGAGATTATTGGAGGATAAAAGCCAAGTGAGTGAAATACGAGAGAACTGGTGAAAAAAAACTTTTTTTAATTAACCCTTTTGTAGAAAATCTTCTTAAAATGTCAAGTGAGCATCAAAACCCTGCTAACATAATGCTCCTTATGTAGACTATGCATGCAGAATTGGCACGGGTTAGTCAGAAGGTAGATAACTTGAGTAGTGGTCGAAGTGAAGTAAAACACAGGACCCCTAATACAAGGCGGTCTAGAACTCAACATCTTGAAATGAGGCCGGGTTTTGTAATGATGAGGGAGAAGATAGGGTGGAGAGGAGAGAAAAAAAGAGAGATAGTAATATCAGCTCCATCAAGATGAGAATACCACATTTCAAGGGTAGAAATGATGCTGAAGTATACTTGAAGTGAGAAAGGAAGGTAGAACTAGTATTTGATTGCCATAACTACCACGAAAAAAAGAAGATCAAACTAGTAGTGGTAGAGTTCATTGACTGCGCCTTAGTGTGGTGGGATCAACTACTCCTCACTAGATGGCGTAATAGAGAGCAACCAATATCTTCTTGGAGAGAGATGAAAACAATCATGCGAAAAAAGTTTGTACCCTCTTACTACTATAGAGAGATGCATCAAAAGTTACAACGTTTAACACAAGAGTTTATATCCGTTGAGAACTATCACAAGGAGATGGAGATGGCCATGAATAGGGCCAATATAGAAGAAAATCCCGAAGTAACCATGGTGAGATTCCTTGGAAGTCTCAACAGAGACATTGCCAACATAGTAGAATTATAGCACTATATGGAGGTGGAAGACATGGTGCACATGACCATGAAAATCGAGAGGCAACTAAAGTACAAAAGGCGGGGCACATCATATGTCACTTCTACCTATAGCTCGGAATGGCCTAAGAAAGAAGAAAACAAAGAAGGAAAAGTTTGCACTACTTGATTCAAAAGGTATGACACTTAACTCATCTCAAAAACATAATACAATTAAATGTTTTAGGTGTCTCAAAATCGAACATATTGCTTCTCAAAGCCCAAATAAGAAAATCATGCTATTGAGAGATGATGGTGGAATTGATAGTGCTAGTGATTGCGAGAACAAAGATAATGATAGCATGCCAACACTGGAGGATGTTGAAGAAAGTGTTGAATATCCAGCTTAGGGGGAAGCTGTGGTTATCCAGAGAGTTTTAAACGTCCAAATCAAGTCGAAAGAAAGTGACCAGAGAGAGAATATTTTTCACACTCGTTGCCTTATAAATGGGAAGATATATGATCTCATTATAGATGGGGGTAGTTGCACCAACATTGCTAGTATTTATTTAGTTGATAAACTTGGGTTAAGATGCATGCGCCATCCTCATCCTTAGAAGTTGAGTGGTTGACTGATTGTGGAGAGATAAAAGTGACTAAGCAAGTATTAGTTTCCCTTCTCTATTGGGCAATACACTG